AAAATTAAAGTTAATTTCCACTTAAATAGTTTGGTGAAACTGGCTGTAAGTCTTTAATTAATTTCATAGGAAAACACTTATTTCTGATACAGAAAATAATTGAAATTAACCAGTAAGAAAGGCTAAACTCGGGCGAAACCGAATTTTACATACCCTCGCGTTATGTTCTTTGTATGCATGTAATGTATTGACGCTTGCTAGTGCTTGACCATCTCCTCTGATTTGTGGCGTTCGCCTTGATGTTGTTACACATAGGGGAGGGACCTACACTTTTACGCCGACTCCGAAGCTGCAAAAAGAAGTATTAGAATTGTATAATTGTAATGAACTTATTTTGTCATATAAGTGGGGATGTGATGGTAGCAGTGGACATTCGCGATACAAACAGACTTTTAATGAAAGCAACGAAAACAAAACCGATGAGCACATCTTCTCAATTTGCTTGGTTCCATTGCAACTTAGAAAAAATGATAAACTAGTTTGGCAGAATCCACGTCCATCATCTACGCGGTTTTGTAGGCCCATTAAAATTATGTTTGAAAGGGAAAGCAAATCACTAGCTACACAAGAAATAGAGGCAATAAAAAACCAAATATCTGCATTAGTACCGACGGAAATTTTTGATGAAAAAATGGAAATAAAAATCATTCATAAGTTTTATTTGACCATGATAGATGGAAAAATTTTTTCAGTAATTGCAGATTCTTCTTCCCAACGTTGTGGTATTTGTGGAGCGTCACCCAAATTAATGAATGATTTGGAAGCAGTTGCAAAATTAAAGCCGAATAAAAGTTTATACGAGTATGGTATGTCATCATTACATGCTTGGATAAGATGCTTTGAGTGCATAATTCATATTGCATACAAGCTAGGTATTAAAAAGTGGCAAACTAGGGGAGAGGCGGATAAAGATTTGAAAGAGGCAAGGAAGAAAACTATCATTGATCGTCTAAGAAATGAAATGGGTTTACTGGTTGATATTCCTAAACCGGGATATGGGACAACGAATGACGGAAACACAGCTAGACGATTTTTCCAGCAACCAACTCTAGCTTCAGAAATAACTGGCGTTGATGAAGATTTAATAAAAAGGTTTGGTGTCATCTTACGCACTATGGGATGCGGCTTTGCTATCAATGTGGAGGAATTTCGGAAGTATGCGATGGATACGGCAAATTTGTACGTAAAATTATATTCATGGTATTACATGCCGTCAAGTGTACACAAAATATTAATTCACGGTGCGGATATTACTAAACACGCTGCACTTCCAATTGGAATGTTGTCAGAAGAAGCTTTAGAATGTAGAAACAAAGACTTAAGATATATACGAGAAGGTCACGCACGCAAAACGTCTCGTGAAAATACCATGTATGACCTATTTCACTATCTCCTGCTTTCATCGGATCCGATCATTTCATCATCTTCGTCAAACCCTTCTCATCGTTATCGTAGTGCTGAGCCTTTAAGCAAAGATGTGTTGTCACTGCTTTCAGATGTATCACTGGCCAATCCGGAAGTGAAATCAGAAAGTGAAGAAGATTCTGAGAAATTAATAAAAAATTGAATTCTAAACTGTTTTCATTCATATTTTGTATACAATTTAAATATGTTTTAATAAACGTTAACTTTATATGGAGTGAAGAATTATATGTAGATATATTTTCCATAAAAAAAATACACTTTCCATTTACCGAATCCGTTGATTTTTGGCTCGATTCTTTATTGTAATTAGATCTTTGAATGTGCGAAATTTCATTTCGATCCATCCGCGGAGAAGTAAGTTATGACTTTTTTCCGGCTAAATTGAGCGTTTGGACCACTGTGCGGCGATTGTATGTTTATGGGAAGCTGTTTTTTCATGGCAGAAATACACTCAGATGTTTGCAATTACCTGCCGAGGGGCGACCGCTTTTAGAAAAAACTTTTGTTTTTAATGTTAGTCGAAACCTAGGCTCGATCCCCGGCTTTTGCTCGAAATCAGAGGTTTCAACTTGGGCGATTATGAATTTTAACCACAGAGTTAGCTGGGGCATGCCCACTTTTCAAAAATTTATAATAATCTTATTTGGTACTCCAGTAGTTACGAAGATACCGTAGATTTAAATTTTTGAAAATGCTGTTATTTGGGAGGGAGGCGCGGTTATTGTCCATTTCGATACCAAGCTGTCTATCTCGTTGAGATATCTCAAGTTTTTCTCGAATTATCTTGTAAACGGGCGGACGGACGGACGGACGTTAAATCTGGCATAGCTTTATCGGGTTTTATCTGCCTTCTAAGAATTTTAACATATAAGTACGTTCAATCATAAAAATACTAAGTTCGATTAAAACCAAGATTGATTGACTAGGCGCACATGCTAATTTGAAATAAATAAAGTTTGGAATAATTTTTACAAGATTTAATTAAAAATATATTACAATATTTATAGATATAGTCATAAGCATTAGTTATGTGATAAATAGAAAGAATTGCAAAGCAGAAGCTCTTAACAATAAAGATCTTAAAATAGTTTTGAAATAAATTTCGTATATTTTTACAAACCTAAAAAGATTTTATAGTTTACAGACTTATAACAATATAACTATACAAACTACATGCTTTGCTTTGCTTAATATTCAAGGTTTACTTATGAGCATGTAATAATAAAATAAATAATTAATTTATTTATTTTACTAAAAGTACTTATGTTTTAAAAATTACTTAATTTTAGCAGAACAGTCAGAAAATCTAGGATCAAACATTTGTATAACCTACAGAAATGCAAATGCCATCATGGTAACTGTGAATCGTTTCATAAGTTATTGCGCTAATTAAGTCTCTATCCATGTTCGAGAACGCCCAATCAATTTGAGACCCTATAGCTGTAGTCGAATATTGTAGATCTAATAACGAACTAAAATTGTTTTCTCTTAAAGCATGTGCAATTCTATTCGTAGTAGTCTTAAGGCATAGATTGAAATCCCCCACAATAATAATTTCCCTATTCTCAAAGTCATTGCAGATAATGTCACGTAATTCTGCTTCCAAGTCTCCAATAGGGAAATTTGAATTTCTGTAAACAACCAGCACATATATATTATCGTGTTTAAACAATATGGCTTCTAAAGTCTTGCGGAGAGAATACTTTTGAATGGTTCTACAAAGTTGAATGGATGAAGCCATTTCAGACTTTGCATACACTAAAATGCCCCGTTTGTTTCTATTCCGCGTTGTAGTGCTATCTATCCTTAGATCATTTAATTGACTAAAGCCGGGAATTTCAAAATTTTCGGAGGGATAGCTCCATGTCTCGACGAAACATAATATATCCGAA